ACGCTCCCTGGTCCATCCGATGGATGCAAGTAGAAAGGCGACAAAGTTGCCTTATCCACTGCTACACTCGCACCATCGTCACCGGATTTCGTTGCGCCTTCCGCGCTTTTCTCAGCGTTCTTGTTTCCACCCATCTTCAAGTTTTAATCTCGCCGCTCTCTCTCTGTTTAGGATTGCTCTGATACCATGTCAAAGAGAGGCTGGAATCTCGTATCCTCTTATTCATATGAATGAGAATATATATACAAGTACATCGTTGAGGGAAACCCTCGATAGAAAGGAAAGTTTACATAATACGATATACTATATGATATTTACACTAGAGTCCTTAATACATTCCTCCGCACAAAATCGTTCATTAACCTGTCGTAGTCGAGTTTTTCAACCATAGCTGTCTTAATTGATAACAAAGTTAACCCATTCAATCGCTCTTGTGACATAGTAGAATGCAAATAATTCTTTATCAGCTTCAACTTCAAGAAACTTCTTTCAGCAGTGGCAACCGATACCGGAATGGTCAATAATATACGATAAGCAATTTCTGTGTTTTGACAACAATCCTCCATTTTTTTCAAAAAAATCAAGCACTTCAATAGGCTTATGAACATCATCTGGTATTGATACTCGAAGAATTTTCAGTTCCATAAACAAATCATCACCATCTATATCTGAATGTGTACCATTCTTTAAAGAAGTCTCCAAATTCGCACATGATCTGCTGGCCGATTTTAATTTTTTTATATCAAACAAAAACTCAAAATTTTGTTCATACTTTTGGAACTGTTCAAACCTGAACTCGAGAGAAATTAAAGCTTGATCCATGAGTGTATTGAAATAATCAATCCGGAAACACTCTTCTGGTGACAATAACACGTTTTCATTAGTTATTTCCTTGTCTTCATCATAATGCTTCTTTCTTCTAACGATACGTTTTTTCCTTGCAGGAAATTCAGCTTCAATCTCCATATCAACTGCAATCTGCTTAGCCTTACCTGTCAACATCGTTTGAATGGGCAGTGAATCAGTGATGATAGGAATAATGACCTGTCTGAAGTAAATCGTTGAGCAAGTAACCTTTCAAATCTGCACTTGGAAATAATATAGTCTCTTGTCTCCATTGAATCTTGGCATAAAGTACATGATGTAATTGCTGTCATGTTCCATGAATACATATGATCACCCGTCAATAGGCGATTGTGGACCGCCAACCAAGCAAGGAATGAATATTTAGGAGTTGAATACTTGAATCAAAACCCACGGTACCAAGGTTTCTCTAACTTACTTCACAGATCAAAGACCATGTTTTCTTTGAATTAAAACCTCGCTTAAAGGTCTCATCATGGCTTCTCCACATAAAGGAACATTTTCCTGATTTGTTGTAGGTCTTGCTCTAAGCTCAGCTAGCTTTGTCTCCATTTGGTTAAAATATTCAATCCTATAGTTGCGTCTACGACGATTAACCATTGCTTGCGTCACTGTGTAGTAAATTGGTATCCCCATATCAATGCATCCTCTTTGTCCTGCAATATCAATAAATCGATTCATTGAGGATCAAGCTTCAAACCAAAATGATGTGCGATTTCCATTTCCCACTTCCACTTTGTAGAAATGCTTTACATTTCTCTATACTTTAGGATCTTTTTCCACATTTAGTATAGTTCACATACCACTTTTCCATTTTTTTGAACCAAATTGTAACAATTAACTCTAATTATCTTCCATCAGATTCTTCTTAACCTAATTAATATTTTTTCGTTCCAAAATATAAAATATTTTATGTAAAACTGCAGAGATTAATTTCTTTTTAAAAACAAAACATCATTTAATTATTAATTAAAATATTGAACCAATGATAAAAAAAATTACAGAATTCAAAAGAATTAAAAATATCAATAATATTAAAATTTGCATACAAACTTGTGAAACATCTTATAAAATAAAATTTAAATAGAAAACTCTTTTAAACATCTTATAATCTTATATTATAAGAAAATGGAGTAGCTCTTTTTGTTAGTTAAACAAAAGATATACCTTGAGTTAACAATTTTTTTATTTCTTTTTTTTTTATCGAAAGCAATTGACTGATCATTTAAATATTATTCTTCGTAGAATTTGCATGTTGTTAAATCAATTTTACTGTAGAAACCTTGAGCTAAAGTTTAGCTGAGTTGATCTTTCTTTTTTCTTGGTTTGATGTTTCTTATTTTTTTTTTATGAACAGTCGTTCTTTCTGTGATTTTCGTCTTCACAAATCTAACATCTTGTTTTTTTCTTCAAAAAAATATTATATTAGTCGCTAACCATATGAAACACATGTTTGGTGGACTAAGACCACGTGTGGTTTATGTACAAGCGCATAAAGCCACTACCATTGGCTTCAGATATTTTTATTATGTCGGCAATGTAGTTTTAGGTAGTATTTTAATAGAATTGAACTTTTAAATAATTGAATGTATTTTGAGTGAATTAGTTTAATAATCTAAAATGGAGGTGAATTTACTGAAATGACTAAGGCCCACCGCAAACTAATAGTACTATGTTTATGGTCATCAGTAAATACCTTTATATCCGCAGAAAAGTTTGTCACATTGGTATGATATGTGATAATTTTATAGAGTAACTGGAATAATTTCATAGTATAGACAAAATATCTTCTCTGTTAATCACGACCACATAAATTTTGTAAAGTAAGAAAAATATTTTCTAAATCTACTTTTAATAAATCTCAGCCACACAATATATTCCAAATCTAACTTATATATATATATTATAATAACAAATTATATATTTTATTATAGATTAACAATTATTATATTATATATAAACATATAAATTTACATATGACATTATGTTTTACACGGTAAAGAAAATGTTAGATTGATAACAATAATGAGTTATATAGATGATAGAAGATGTTATTGATATATTTAACACGTTATATATAAAGTAACATCTAACATTATAATTTACCAGATAAAAAATATGTTAGATTGATAACAATAATGAGTTATATAGATGATTAAAAATATTATTGATATACTTAGCACGTTACATATAAATTAACATCTAATAATATAATTAATTAGATAATACATATGTTAGATTGATAACAATACTGAATTATATAAATTGTTAAAGATGTTAGTTTTGTAGTTAGTGTGCTACAAATACATATAATATTCTATTGGATATGTTAGCAGTCTGACAATAAATTTATAAGAGTAATTCAAGTAGATACACACAATTATTTATGTTAGCATCAATCTGATAAAATCATCGATTGTTCTAGCAGTTGGAGTATATAGTTGGTTTTCTTCACAAAAAAACCCAGAAAAAGAACTTAATTTGATCATATACAACAAATTAAAACTCAAGATCTAGACTTTTCAATTAGTAGATCCACTGATAGTGATTTGATATTGTTGGGAAATGTTTCTGAGGAGACAATTTCAAAGATGAATGTTAAGAAGATTACAACAGAGATATAAGAAAATAGAGAGATGAAAGAGAGTGAAAGGAGAAAGAGAAAGAGAGATGATAGATAATAGATATATAGAAGTAATAGAATGTAGGGTGTTACGGTATTTAAAAAAATTGTACTATGCGTGGGGTCATGGTCATTTTTTGGGTTTGAATTTTGTTGTATAAGGAGTAAGCATAAGCCGAATATCTTTGAATCTTAAGATAATACGGATTCAACTTCGACAAGAACTATTTAGATCTAAATATTATAGTAACGTTGGTATTTTCTTTGTGTTCAAATATTTATATTAACTTTAATTCGCATGCAGTTATAATCTAAAAGAGCCGTGAACTTGTTGCCAAACAATTCGAATATAAAATCAAATTGAAATACACAGCATGAAAGTAAGATAGAAGGTTACAATTGATAGGTTCCTCTTCAGAAGCTAAGAGATTGTGATCACAAGAACACAATGAGAGTTTTCTTTTTGCAAATTTCAAGTCTGATTCATTATCTTAACCATGAGGTCTTTAAATACATCAAGGGAAACAATTAATCGATTGTACAAATAAAGAAATAAGAAAGTGGAAAGTGGAAAGTGGGAAGTGGAGATTTAGTCCTATGATTAAGCAGAAATTAAAAGAATTAATTAACAATAAATTATATCTCATCAACACTTAATCGTAGAAAATAATCTGAAACACTTCTTAGATAGCTAGTTCTTTTGCCATAAAAAACCAGCGAATAAAACTTACACTAGAAATGCTATCAAAACTGAGCGTTCCATGATATCATTCAGCCAAAAGGGCAGACCAGTCGCAATGTAGGACTGTCTTCTATCCTCCATTGTCACCGATCGGGCAAACTAACAACTAAAGAGGCTTCTTTGTTATGGTAATTATGCATTTGTGAATGTATAACCCACAAACCTAGTTCTAATCTATGAACACCTAACTTTTGAGAATATTTATTGGTTTGAAAACCACCTAATGTGTAGCATATCAAGAAAAAGAAAAAACAACAGTAAAATGCAACGTAACTTACAAAGCTTGGTCTCATGCTAATCCCGAGTTCCATGTCAAGTTCCAAGTGTCAACCCATAATCTTTTTGCGATTGTAATTAGTTTTTTTATTTGCAGGTTTATTTCTAAAAGACAAAGGTTATCGCTAGCTATGCATTATGCAAGGTAAATTATAAGAAAGAAATTTATTTTAAAAAATGTAAAATAAAACAAAACACACTAAAGGATTCTGCCGCTTTGTTTTTTGTTTTTCTTTCATAAAACTGAAAAAATATATTATTTCAATTATTCAATCAATATTACCGTTTACCAAAATATATTACCAGATAATGAAAAACAAAACAGTTCATGCACACCAATAGAGCTATAGTAATCAATCAACAACCAAATAATTGTGAAAAAAACAAAAACATAATTAGATCTTAATTAAAACATAACACAATATCACTATGAAAGAGATAAAAAAAAAAAAAAAAAAAGCTCCAAATGTGCCTCATCGCTGGAATAGCATTTTGAATATTTAAAAGCATCTTGAATCTTCAAACCAGCAACATCTTGCAAAGATCCTCGCCTTCCTCTTCTTTGTTATTGACTAAACATTAAGATTTCTAAACCCTAGGACTTCCCCCGGCTTCATTTATATATTTACACACATGCATAAATTTCTATTTTATTGAGTAGAAAATCCAGAAGAAGAAGATAGCGTGAGGTTCATCGGCTCTTGTGTCTTCCCTTTGAGAAAAGCGGTGTACCAAAGAGCAGATGTTTTCGGAGATCTTTTACGTTCTGGATCGCTGAAATTCACATAGTATAATCCATACGTGTGATTGTAACTAAGAAATTCGTATAAATCCATGAACGACCACTGGAAGTAGCCTCTTGTCTCTGACCCATTCCTCACTGAATTGAGCACAGCAGCAATATATGCATGAAGATATTCAACTCTTTCCACGTCGTTAAGCGATGAATAGTGGTTTGTAGGTCGACCTAATTAAATGTATATGTATAGAGAAACTCTTTAGATTTTGTATAATTTTTGGAAAACCAAGTAAAGAACAAGAGAAAGAAAGAAAAAGACCATTTTCAAGAATGTAGACCGGAGGATTGCCATAGTTTTGCTTTATGTATTCCAACAGTTCTTCAAGACCCCATGGAAGCACATCAAACTGTTGATATATGACAAAGAATGTCAAGATTAATTATAAAGATTGTTAGGGTGAAGACGAAAACAGATTTCTGAATTTGGCAGTCTTTGGAAACTCACCTTGATAAATGTAGAATTCCCAAAGGCTGTCCAAGAAAATGAAATAATGAAACGATCAGCTAATGGACTCAGGTACGGTAGATTTAAAAATAATAACATGATGATCGTAGGAAATAAAAGCATACGGATTAGTGAAGCCCTCATGTCTGATAAATAATCTTTGTTGCGGGATTTGGATTTATGTGCGACACACAATGTTGTGTAGTGTATGATTCCCAAGAAGTCAGATGAGTCTTTAACAAGATCTGATTCTTCTTTAGAAAAACTTGGCAATCTCTTTCCAACGATATTCTTCATTGCTTCAGGATAGTCTCCAAACACCAGTGGGTGCATAACCCTAAAATTAAGAGATGAAAATGTTTTAAGAGTAAAAAAAAAAGCGCCTACTTTAATTACGATATGAATGTTTTCAACAAACCAGCCTAATGAGAAATCTTTGGCTCTCTGAGTTGCAATATTGTCCTCTTCAGAGCTTGTAAACGGAACCATCCAGTGTGCAAAACATGTTATACCTACAGAGCCATTCTGTTTTTCCTACATAGAGAAAGATATATAAAATCGAACGTTCAAGAGATCAGGGGATAAATGTGTACGTGTGTAAGCTTACCTTATACTTTTGCTTATACAATCTCGCCACAGATGCGTGTGCAAGTAACATGTTATGGAGTGCAATATATGGCTTAGGAGCTGAAGCTCCCAAGTCATAACCTCCCATTGCTAGCATATTGGGCTCATTAACTGTCGACCATAGTTTCACTGAGTTCCCAAACTCTCTGAAGCAAACGTCTGCAAAAGCTGTGAAGTCATCTCTGCAAAAGAAGATCAAAGTATATATATTATTAAAACAAAACACTTTTCAAATCTGTTTCCAAACGCCCTTGTTTTTTAAATAAATTAAACATGTAGCAAAACAGATATTAAGCATATTTCTAAACATGTATTATATCTATTATAAACTTGAAAATTACAAATTAAAACTCATTAACACTAAATTTAGTTTCTTATTCCTCATTTCATATTTTATACATTACAAAAATAATTTATAAAAAACTTTATTCCCTGCCGTCTGGTTTAGAATCTAGTAAATATAAAAGATAGCACACACTTTACTAAAGAGAGTTGTTCTGAGAACGATGTAGTTGAAATAAAATATGTATTGGCTTTACATGATTTTGCGGTCAATCCATCCTCCGTATTCATCTTCAAGAACCTGAGGGAGATCATTGTGATACAACGTAACATGTGGTTCAATTCCTGTACTCTCCGTTCATACAAAACATAGAAACAAAATAAACTCAAAATTCATGTTTTTTCCAAGACACAAGACATAATCACACCAAATGTAATTATGATGAGAAGCATAATCTTACCATGCCTTGTGAGCTCATTTAAGAGGTTTTTGTAGAAGCGTAAACCCTTTGGATTCACAGGACCTCTTCCACCTGAAAAACCAAACGAACCAAAAACACGATTAAAATCTCTATGCAATGAAACACATACACACACACACACTTGGTATAAGCCGAGGCCACGAGATGGAGAGCCGGAATGCATCCAAACCCATGTCATACATCAGCCTTACGTCCTCCTGCATGCATTATCATAATTAATAGCTGATTGATTATTATCAGATATTTGAGCACCAAACAGATGAGTCATAGAGGAACTTGACAAAACCTTATATTTATGATACCCATCACAGTCTATAACAAAGGGAGGTCCAGCATCTGCATCGTTAGGAAGATGAGTGATTGAAATTTAAACCCAAACCACTTTATGACATTCTAATTCTGATTATGTGAGAGCTTTACCAGAGTTAACGAATGAATCCCAGATGCTAGGCTTCCTTCCATCTTCATCAACAGCTCCTTCCCACTGACCGGAGTCAATCATAAGCCATTTGAATTCGAGTAAAACAAAAACGCAAAGGACCTTAGAGATTCGTTCGAAACTGCAATACCTGAAAAGCAGAAAAAGCGGATCCGAAGAGGAATCCCTTAGGGAAATCGCTCCTGGTGTAAACATCGCTGCATCTCCCGGAGCAGAAAGCGAAACCCATAAAAATGGTAATCAAAAATAAAACCTGTCCCACCATCTCTTCTTCGTGCAAGATTACAATAGTATGTTCAGGAACTGAATGCTTCTTTCTCTGCATGCATTCTTAACCATCATATATATATATATATATTTATGTCATATTGGTTGGTCTATCAACCATTTTTTTCTAACCTCCACATGGGAGTTGTAACCAGTCAAGCTAGTTATCTTCCATCAAATTCCTCTAAACCTCATTAATAAACTTCTTTCTGGGTTTTAAACTATACACGTAGACTTGTTGTTTAATATATTTTACTCTAGAAATTAAGAAGCTGAATTAGCCGAAATCTAGCTTCTTGTGTGGTGGTTATTAGCAAAAGAAAGAAAGAGAAATAACAAACAGTTGGTTGGTGGACTGAGACCACGTGTGGATTTATCATTTATGTACAATCGCACTTGTATTAATTTGTGTTTTTAAAAATAAAAATGGAGGTCTTAAAAAAATTGTCGGCAACGTTATTTCGAAATCTGATTTATTGTGTTGAGGTGTTATTGAATTTTGTAATTTAATGTAGTTGAGTCATGAGTGTATTTTAAATAAACAGTATTATCCGGTGTTATTCAATTATGTATTTGAAAAAGTACATTAAAACCCACGGTTATTGGATTAAACATTTGTCTGACGATGTATTTTAAAATACATTAAAAACAAGTGTTATTCACTTTCTACTTGATTTTGTCAGAATTTAGTTACAATGGATTTTGATGTATTCTTTTTTTTTCTAGAACATGAGTAAGAACAACCTCAATGAGAGAGACCCATATGAGTCTCTAAACCTATATTTTAATAGTTTTTGAGCAAAAAGTGAAATTAGAAACTGATTTTAGAGACTTCTTTTTTGGGCTGTGCAATAGAAGAGATCTATATAGTTTCTATAAAAAAATGTTTTTTACAAAGTAAAATAAAAGATTTGATTATAAATAAAAATTATTTGATTAAAGCTTTCCCAAATATGCATTTAAATTTCTACAAACTAAACATACAATTTAACATAAATACTTAATTGTTAACAAAAATTTGTTACAAAATTAAGAAATAAGTTTGTATCAAAAAAGCTCAATGCTCAATTGTTATCCATAAATGCTCAATTGTTATCCATAAATGCTCAATGTTCAAATTCAATGAACATATTCTGAAATTGTTGATCTAAAATTTCTTCATTATATCCATCAAAGGAGTAATTTGAAGAAGAAGCCATATATTGGATATTCTTTCGTTGTTGTTAAGTAAACTAAAGGAGAAGGATAAGGAGAGAATATGATATACTAAAACGATTGTTGTTGTGTCAAAGATGAAACCACATTTGAATGTAGGAGAAGGGGAGAAGAAATATGTAAAGAAAAAGCTTTGCTGAAACGTTAGTTTATTGCATTTTCCAATTGGTATACTATCTATCTATATATATATATATATAGGAGAGGCATTACACTATGTCAAATATTTGTGGAGTAAAAATGTAAAACAACAGCTGTGGTCTCAAATGTATATAAAGAAAACGACATGAAAAGACCTAAAAATGTCGATAAAAAGACTCCCAATCATCTTATGTATATCGTCAACAAACGTTTTAAAGCAGATCGTTACTGAATCTCTGATCCTTGTTTTATATCTGATCAAACAAAGCATATTTATTACAAAAACCTAAGACAGATACAACTCTTTATCCAAAAAAGGTCCATGTTATGATTTAATAAGTAACAATTTCACTAAAACATGAAGCATGAGGTATAAACTATGAAGCGCAAGGCTTATAAGTTATAACATAGGCAGAAGAACAAGTTTGGGACCTGACCTTTGGAACAGCAGCCTGGAAAGAAAATCTGCATATGCGTTAGGAGTAAGATTTGTGAAACTTAGCTGCTAGCTAGCGTTCTAACCGATGACCATATCCCAAGCGGTTGGATCAGAGGCTTACACGCCCAAACCCTGTAATGATCGTTACACAGAAGAAATCAACACAGTGTTTAGAATGTTCTAAGAAAACCAAATGCGAATAAAAGATTCATACCTTCATAATGAGTATAATGAATAAGATCACAAACCATGAAGCTCCATAAACCTACAAAGACCGGTTACTAAGAGTCATAATTATTACAATAACAAACATGGAAGATGAACTGTTGGTGTTGCTAATTGGCATTACACTGTAACTAACTCAACAAAACATTTGGTGAACACTGAAATATAGCTAAAGCTTGCTCGCAGAACAACGTAATCTGTTCAATGAAAGGCAACTAAAGCTTGCTCGCAAAACTTCAACAATTAGACCCATTCAATTCAACATTGAAAGACATAAGCTGCGTCGAGTGAAGGTAATTTCCCCAGAAATAATATCACAGATCGAAATAAGCTGCATCGACATAAGCAGCGTCGAGTGAAGGTAATTCCCCAAAGAAGTGTTTCTTTCTGATTGCGTCTCACACAGAACGAGATTAGGGTTTTACACACAATCTTCGATAACGGTATACACAGAACGCGATAACCCCGGATTACCAAACAAAAATATAACCGATAAAGAGAGGAGATTAGGGTTTAAGAGCTTATCTCTTTCGCCTTCTCTTTCGCAGACAAATATTCGAACCCTGATGCCCCCGTCTGAGAACCTCGATCCGATGGAGAAGCTGCCAGAAACAAATCAATTTCGCATCGAGTTCGTCGGAGAAATGAGAGAAGAGTGTAGAAATGAAAACAATCTAGGGAAAATGAAATGCTTTAGCAAAAAAAAAAATTCTCTCCAACTTTGAAAACAAATGAACATATGACACGTGTGGCAAGAAACGCGTAAAAACGTCCCCAATTAGAAGACGTCTTTGCCAAATAAGAAACAAAGCATCATTAAAAAATTAATAAGTTTCTGTTAAATACCTTCTAAATACCGCGTTAAAGATGCTCTAAAACAAATACGCTTTATGAATTTTTACTAGAATTTTTAAACTACAAAAAAAAAAAAAATTGTGAAGAGACCAGAGTGAACGATAGGCATCAAAACCAAATTTCCCAATCATCCGAGTTATCATCAAATAAAAAGACAAGAACTTTAGAAATTAGTTTCCTACACGATAGAGAAGACGGATCTAAAACCTACAGATAGAGAAGAATAAAATGATGGACATCTCCAGGTAATTAAACTCAAAATCGGAATCAGAGTTGTTTTTTTTTTTTGAACGAAGGTTTCGGAATCAGAGTTGTTTGTGTTTCTTGCATGCATGGTGGACTGAGATCACGTGTAGTTATTAACAAAAAAAAAACTTGTATGTGGACATGTGGGTATTATATATGTACAAACACACTTGTGTTAGTGAAAGTAAATTTTAAACTTCAAAAGTATTTTCTTGTTGATGTTTTCAGATATTCTTATGTGTATTGTATAACATAGTATATGTATGTAAATCTTATACAACTATTTTTAGAAAGTTGTATATCAATGTGGATATGGACATATTTAAATCTTAAAGTTAAGGGAAATACCCAGATATCCTAGTTTTGGACCGAATCGAATTTGCATTCCGGATATTTTGTATAGTCCTAATATTATAATATATTTTTTTCTAATGTTTGATCTGCTATCCTGATCCGAACTAATATTTAGTTTTAAAATCAATTATTAATACCAAGTTTTTTTTTGTGTTTTGATTTGTGTACCATTTCTAAATTCATATTCCAATTCATTGTTTTTGTGGGAAACAAGCTCTAGCTAGTGAGGTTGAGAAATCCATTGAGTGCATTTGAATTCTTGTTGTTTTTCTTCCTAATTATGGTAACTAGATTTATAATCCGCACGTAAATTTTATCTTTAAACACAGTTAATTCATTATATTTGTCTTTTTATTGTTCTTGATTTTATTAGATTCATTTTCTATCATTATATTATCATAGTTTGTTATTTTCATTTTTGGTCCTTTTTTTCATTTTCAACATTTTTGTTCTCATATTTTCTGAAATTTCTTTTCATCAGTTATGTGTTCTTCTTTTTCTCCTTTATTTTTTTTATCATCTTCTTCGATTTCTATTTCTTTTTTTTTTGGTCAACACCCTAAGTATCTAGAACGGTTCAACTTCTTTTTATTTTTTTGTTTCTTTCAGTTTTTCTTCATCTTTTTTTTTTTGATTTTTTTCATCTCTTATTTTTATTTATCTCATGTATGTATCCTTATTCTTTTATTTGTCTTCATCTACGTATTTTCTTTTATATTTTGATTTTTTTCTTCTTTCTGTATTGTTCTTATTCTTTTTCATCATCTATGATTTTCATCATCATTTTTTTTAACTATGCTTTTTTATTTTTTTTCAATTTTTACTTTTCTTCTTCGTAATAAAAAATAATAATAATAAATAATATGTGAATTAATTAAGTCATTAATTTTAGTATTAGTGTTTCTCTTTTATTATTAGATAAAAATAATATTAAATACTACTACTTTAAAATATTTGTATTAATTAAGTCATTAATTTAAGTTTTTTCTCATGCTGATGTAGACATCTTAGACGGAGAGAAAACTCTCCTATTATATAATAGATTTAATAAAATAGAACTAATTAGAGCGTATCCACGTTCAGAATCAAGTTGAAAGGAAAATGGCCAAAGAGAGAAATTTGCTGAGAAGTGTAATCATGTTGAAAGTACCATACTTCAGCATGGTCGGTGTGAATTAACAAATTTAAAGTCTTTTCGTGGAGAATCTAAGGTTTTAGGAAATTGATGAGAAATGTATGTTCACGCAAGAACCGAATTATATCCATTTCTGATTCATTCCCTATCTATTTCTGACTCATGCATGTGACCCATTTTGAAATATACTTTGACTAGATAACAAATGATCCATCTTCATCAACAATATATCGTGTACTCTAATTTTTCTTTATTTCTCAATAAATCTCTTCTTAATGAAATTATAATAACTTTCTTCCTGATGTTATGATTTTTTTTGTCACCCAAAACGTGAAGCTGTATTATCCAATTTAACCTATCTTTTATTTTTCGTTTGTTCTTTCTTAATTAGTATTTATCTGTGAACAAATCTTTTTATTACTGGCTTTCATTTTTCACAAAT